AGCGTCACGACGGACTTCAGGTTACACCTCAAGCTCTTCTGACGCTTCTCGCTCCCCATCGAGCCCTTCTTGCCGCTCGGCTCTTCCTGTTTGTCGGCACAGTGTCCGTGCCAGCCCTCCAGCGAGATAGGAACGAGTGTATCGCTTTGACGGATCGACCGTGCTTGTTATCAAAACCGATCTCACGTACACAGTTACACTCCAGACGTTCTGTACTCTCCTACCTATCCGGCAACCGGCGCGTCGCGTATCGATCGAGCTCGCGATCCGGGCCGTGGAGCCCACGAGGAAGACTTCGTCTGCTGGGACGGAGTCCCGACGCTCGCTGCGTCCGCCGGAACTGGGGGCTACACTGGCGAGGTACTCCCACGCCTCTCGGGGTTTTTGTCTGGCCGAGTCAACCCGAGATGCTGGGGCGAGCCTCGGCGAGACTGCGTCAGCTGTTCCCACAGCAGGCTGGAAGTACCTCGCCAGGGAGTACAGTGGGTTGCGGGCATTAAGAAAGCGTCGCATTAAGAAACCACGCCGAGCGATTTCTGCAAAAATCTAAGAAACCACGGCGCGCCGCAGGCGCGGCTCCGAGAAAAGGCCAGACACGAGTGTGAACGGGAGCTCCCAGCTCGTCAAATGAAAATTTCTCTTCGCCTGCGCGGCGCGCGCACTTGGCATTTTGCGAGAGAGAGATTTTTAAAGACCAACAAGAAATCACGACTCTCACAGTGATTTGGGCTCGGCAGCTTGATGCTTGTTAGCCCTCAGCCGAAGCTGGGGCCGGTCCCGTAGCCGAGAGAGCCCGCGCCGATGAGTTCGACGCGGTCAGGGGGGCCTGCGAAGAGGCCAGCGAGATGGCGATCGCTGTACTTCATGGTGCCCTCGGTGGGGCGGCTGACAAGCCAGAGGTCGATACTCTGGACGACCCATACATAGGATGCCACGAATGCCTGAAGGAGTCCATTTTGCAAGTCTGCGGTGTTCTGAGTGAGCGGTGTGGATGGAGGCGTGTGCGTCTTGAGTCGGTGGCAGACTGGCTGGCGGCATCGGATCCGGGACCGCAGCTCACCTCTTCCGACTACCGGTATCCGGGGCCGGCTCTGACCTTTGACCTACCTTGATTGAGTGCCCCGGCCGAAGTTAAGAAACCACGGCGTGGGGTGGGTGAGGGGTGTGGAAAGGCTTAGAAATGGCGGCGTGCCGCAGATCCTGTTTTCTTAATGCCCGCAACCCACTGTACACACCTTTCTGTCCGCGTCCTTTCTCGGGGGAGCGACGAGCCAACCTGCTAGTACACACACATATATGTGTATGCCGCGCCGCCTCGCCGCCCCCGCCACCACCGCCGCGCCCTCGCCAATCACGCCGCCGCCCGCCCGCCTCCTCGACCTTCCCACGGAGCTCCTCGAGCGCGCCCTCTCTCGCTTCGATAGCCCCGTCGACATCGCTCGCGTCGCGGCCGTCTCGCTGCTCTTCCACGCCTCGCTCTCAGTGGAGGCTATCCGCTTGTGGGCGAAAGAGCGCGGCTACGTGCTGCCGGCGCAGCCAGAGGGCGAGGGCTGCGCCGTGCGATGGCTGTGCTTCGCTGCGCTGCTGTGCGAGTCCAACCCACCGGCGCGGGCGGCGGCAGGCGAGCGTCACAGCCTTTTCATCGACGGCGAGGGGCGGCTCTCTTCGTGCGGCAGTGCGGCATGCTGTCCCGGGCTACTCGGTCACGGCGTGGGCGTGCTGCTGCTCAACACACCGACCCGCCTCCCATCGGCGCTGGGCGGCGAGCGTGCCGTGAGCGTGTCGGCTGGAGCTTTGCACAGCCTGGCCCTCACCGTCGGCGGCGCCGTCTGGAGCTGGGGCTTTGGATGGAGTGGCCGGTTGGGCCACGGCGACCAGCAGCGCCAGTGGCAGCCGAAGAAGATCGAGGCCTTTGCGGGGCAGCGCGTCGTTGCTGTGTCGGCTGGAGAGAGCCACAGCCTAGTCCTCACCGCCGACGGCGTGCTCTGGAGCTGGGCCAATGGCTACCCTGGCCAGCTAGGCCACGGTGACGCACAGGACCAGTGGCGGCCAAAGAAGGTCGAGGCGTTGGCTGACCAGCGCGTCGTCGCTGTCTCGGCTGGAGGCATGCACAACCTCGCCCTCACCACCGACGGAGCTGTGTGGAGCTGGGGCGAAGGAAACTTTGGCCAGCTGGGCCACGGCGACCCGCAGGAGCAGCTGCTGCCCAAGCAGGTCGAGGCCTTGGCTGGGCAGCGCGTCATCGCTGTCTCGGCTGGATATCGCCACAGCCTCGCCATCACCGCCGACAACGCTGTCTGGAGCTGGGGCGCAGGATTCTTTGGCCGGTTGGGCCATGGCAACCAGCAGCAGCGCCAGCTGATGCCCAAGAAGGTTGAGGCCTTGGCGGGGCGGCGCGTCGTCGCTGTCTCGGCAGCGTACAGCCACAGCCTCGCCCTCAGCGCCGACGGAGCCGTCTGGAGCTGGGGCTGGGGAGGGCAAGGCCGGTTGGGCCACGGCGACCAGCAGGAGCAGCTGCTGCCCAAGCAGGTCGAGGCCTTGGCTGGGCAGCGCGCCGTCGCTGTGTCCGCGGGACGCGATCACAGCATCGCCCTCACCGCCGGTGCCGTCTTTACTTGGGGCAAAGGCGAGCGCGGCTGCCTTGGCCACGGAGAGGACCTGTCGAACCAGGTGCTGCCCAAGAAGATCGAGGCGTGGGCGCCGGGGCGGTGAGCAGGAGGGTGTGGGTGCGGGGGGCGCATGGCCCGCCTGAGGCTGAGCCAAGTGCTGTTTCGATCGTGGTGGATGGGCCCACTGGCGTGAGGGAGCTTTCGGGAGCTTTCGCGCGAGCGTCGTCGCAGCTGGCCTGGAAAAGAATTCTTTTTCGAAGAAGTTGTCAGCACACCTGTGCGAGAACGCCGCGGAGGAGGGCAAGTACATCTGCAGCGAGTGTAAGGAGAGCGAGCTCCTCCCGTGCCGCGACTCAGCGGTGTGCAAGGGTTGGGACTTTTTGCGGGTATGGTAATCTATAAAGACCATACCCCCCGCCTGCTGGAAATATAGAAATTCACGGGGCAAGCCCATCTCACAGAGACACAGAGAATGGCACAGAAAAGATCCGCAAAAACAAAAGATGTCGCCGTTGCGTGACGTCGGGGATTGCGATCACATCAGCCCAGGACACAGAGCGAGAGGCTCGTTAGGCGCATGTGCAGGTGTCCCTCTGCCGAGGAGCTTGTGGCGGTGACGGTGAGCCTGGGACTTGCGGCGGAGACGGGAACCCTCTGGCTGCCAGCGACGTCGTTGCGCATGAGTGCGCCCGCTTGCACGTCATCCACCAGCACCACCATCGAATCGTCCTGATCTCTGCCCTCCGCCTCATCCGCCGCCCAGGTCATGGCGACGGCAGAGATGATGACGTCGCTCTCGTGCACCCACGTCGTAGAACGGCAGTCCCCGAGCCGTAGTACGCTTGTGGCCGATGGACAGCCGGACACTAGCGCGAAGTCGTCGCCACTAAGTGACTTGCTTTCGCACGGCGGGGGTGGCGACGGAGGCGATGGCGGCGACGGAGGCGGGTGAGACGGAGGCGACGAAGATGGCGGCGGTGAGAGCGGCGGCGGAGGCGAAGGTGAGGCGGGGCATTCGATGTGTGAGAAGGCGCCGAATCCGCAGAAGCGGCAGAGCGCGTGGCCTCCCGCAGCGCAGCCGAAGCCGCCGAACTCGCACGCCGGATCGAAGTAGCACGTCAGCGCGGCGTTGCCAGTGCATCGCCCCGGCTTGCAGAACGCAGGGTCGAAGAAGGGCGGCTCGGGTGACAGCGGCGGTCCGGCAGGGCAGGCGACGGACGAAAAGCCACCAAACCCGCAGAACCGGCAGAGAGGGAAACCTCCCGCGTTGCAGCCGAGCCCGCCAAGCGCACAGGACGGGTCGTAGAAGCAGAGCTCTGCTGGATTGCCCGTGCAAACCCCAGGAGAGCACTTCGCAGGGTCTAGTGTGGCTGGCAAGGGCACGGGCGGCGGGGGCGGCATCGGAGCCGGAGGTGTTGGCGGGGGTGGCAACGGTGGCGGGATGGTAGGGGGCGGGGGGTCGCAGCTCCTGATCTTCGGGCTAAATTCGCAGGCCGTCCCACCCTCGCTGGGGCTGCGACAGAGCCTCCAAAATTCGCCGCTATCGCCGTCGGCTGCCTTGTAGTCGTAGAGCGAGTCACAGTCGGTGGCAGGGAAGGGGAACTTATCGCACGCCTTCCCTTCGGGTGTGAGCGTGCGCCCAATGAGGCGCCTCTCGAGGCGCTCGCACAGCCGAGGTGATTCCACAATGGTGGCCTCCTCGTAAAGTTGGCACAAGCCGCCATCGCCGGTGAGGGTAAACTCGATGCAGCTGCACCTGCTCTCCTTGCTGCACAGGTAGACGCAATCGCTCTCAACTGCCCCCCGACCCTCGCTCTCGTACCACGCGTTCGGTAATGTCCGCGCGTCCCACATGACCAAACCGGGGCAAGCCATGGCTGTCATGCGGCTGATCAAATGTCTTACACTGTGGCACGGGTTGCGTACTCGGGAGTACTCTTCGTAAGTCACATACGATACTGAAAGAAGGCTATTACGGAGTTGTTGTGGCAGGCAACTCATCTTCCAAGGTTGTCCGCACACGCCCGCTCGGGTGCGGGAATTCTTTTTGCTTGGACGCACTCACTCACTCTGGTGTACCTTCTGTTCACTGCTGTGCTTGGTTGGCTAGGATTGCAAGCAGCCTCGCTCGCCACTGGCAGTGCCGCACTGGCGTGTCGTCCTCATCGGATTCGTTCTCTCCGCTCGGCGGGGCACACCCGTGGACCAAAAGAAGAAAGCGCAGAAAACTGGACTGATCTTACGGGCACAGACACGTCCCTGTGCTAGTCTGTGCTAGTCTGCGCCAGTCCGCCGGCACCCATCGCCCTGGTTTGTGATTGTGTGAGAAGAAAGAAAACAAAGCAAAAAAGGTTGGCGCGAAACGGAGGAGCTGGCGCGAAGGAGCGTGTCATGTCTCTCACCTCGCACTTCCAGTCCCGCAAGCGCACTGAGCGGGAGCCGCCGCAGCTCTCCAAGTACGAGGCCAAGCGCGCGCGCAACATCGCCGAGAACCAGGCCGCCCTCCAGGCGCTTGGCCTCGCCGAGCCCGTCCTGATGCCCGCCAAGCCCTCAAAGTCGACCAAGGCCAAGGCCAGCCGGCCTGCGCCTCCAAAGCGCAACAAGCTGGACCCGCTCTCGGTCTGGGCTCGCGGCGGCTCCGGCACCACCGCCGCCGCCAAGCCGTGCGCCGAGCCTGGCTGCCGGCGGATAGACGATCATTTCATGGTCGAGTGCGACGTCGGTGCGCGACTCCCCATCGCCCCTCACCTCCCCGCCCCCGACTCGCCAGTCCTCCCCATCCCCCCACTCTGCCTCGCCCGCCGCCTGTCCCCGCCGAGACCTCCACCCTGCTCCACGCCCTCTCCGCTGACAGCCTCGCCCCGCCCGCCCGTGCAGCCTGCGAGGTGTGCCGCGGTCTGGACGACGAGGTCAACAACGAGATCCTGCTCTGCGAGGGGGAGGGCTGCGGCGTGGGCTACCACATGCGCTGCCTCGACCCGCCCCTCTCCCGCGTCCCCCGCAAGCAGTGGCTATGCCCCGGCTGCGCGCCCGCGCCCGCGCTGTCCGCCTCCTCGCGGCTTTGCTCCCCACAGAGCGGCGGCGGCGGCAGGGCCTCGACCTCGCGCGGGCCAATGTCGCCCGTGCGGACGATCGGCTCCCCCCTCCGCACCACCCGCTCCCCCGCCCGCCTCGCCGCCCGATCGCCGGGTCGCTCGCCCCGCAGCGGCGGCGGCGGCGGCGGCGGCGGAGGCGGCGGAGGCGGAGGCGGCGGCGGAGGAGGGAGCCCCGAGGGAAGCGGCCACGCGCGGCGGCGGTTCCTGCTGCGGCGCTCCGAGTGCGAGGGCACCCTCCGCAGCCTCCAGGGCGAGCTCACCCTCTCCGCCATCCCCGAGCGGCTCCTCTGCCGCTCGGCGCAGCTCGAGGCGCGAGATTAGCCGAGATGCGTCCGAGATGCATCAGAGATGGAGAGGCGGCCGAGAGGCAGCCGAGAAGCAGCCGAGAGGCGGATGAGATCGAGCCGAGAGGCGGACGAGAAGGTGCCTCCCCCTGCGGTCTAGCCAGAGGCGCGAGCGCGCCGTCGCCCTCAACGCTCGCTGCCATAACCCACCGCCAACCTTGCGCCCCTCACACGCCCTCGCCGCCGCCACCGCTGCCACAGCTGCCACCGCCGCCGCCTCCCCAACCCCACCCCCGGCCCCGACCTCAGGCGCTGCTCCAGTTTGGCGGCGAGCGACTCAAGGCGGGCAGCGGCGGCGGCATGTACGTCGCCGGCTCGCCTGGCCTCGGCAAGTCGATGACGGTTCGCGAGGCGTTCCGCCTCCTGTCTGCGGGCGAGGCGTGTGCCGGCAAGGCGGCCGACGCACCGCCGCCGTGCAAGTCGTGCTTCGTCAACGGCTTCCAGCTGCAGACGCCGGCCGCCGTCTACGCCGCCCTCCTCGCCGAGCTCGGCGTCGACGACGCCGCCGTCGAGGCCGCGACCGGGCCTCGGCAGGCGCTCGAGCGCTTCTTCGTGACGGCGGCGGCGGAGGAGGCGGAGGGGCGGCCGGCGGGCGCGCGCCGCCGCACGCGCGTCTCAGGCGCGTCGGAGGCGGGCGGCAGCGCCGAGGCCGACGCCGGCGCGCTCGTCGTGGCTGATCCGGTCGGCGGGGCCGGCGGGGCCGGTGGGAGCATGTGCCTCGTTGTGATTGACGAGCTCGACCAGCTGCTCAGCAAGGAGAATGAGGCGCTCCACTCGCTCTTCGGATGGGCGGCGGCGCCCTCCTCCCGCCTCGTGCTCGTCGGCATCGCAAACTCGCTCGACTTGGCGCGCGGACGCTTCCCCACCCGACACACCCCATCCCACCCCATCCCCCTCTCACCGCCGCCGCCGCCGCCGCCGCGCTCTCCACCCTACTCGCCCGTCCCCAAGCCACCACCTTCACACACCCCCTCCCCGACCTCAGATGGAGCGCTGCCTGCCGCGGCTGCGCTCGCGCGGCGCCGCGCCCAGGCCGCTCACCTTCCCGCCCTACTCCGCCGACGAGCTCGCCGCCATCCTCACGCAGAGAGTCGACCAGGCCCGGGTGGCGGCTGGAGAGCTGGCGGCCGGCGCGCAGCCGCCAGAGCAGCCTGCTGCGGCGACCCCTGCGGCGAGGCGGGCGGCCCGCGCCACGACGCCGCCGCCCGGCTCCCCCGCCGCTCCCGCCTCGCCCGCCGCCGCGCCCGCGCCCGCGGCCACGCGGGCGTTGGATTTGCCGCGCACGGCGGTGGTGGAGCCGTCGGCGATCGTCTTTTGCGCGCGCAAGGTGGCGGCCGCGTCGGGGGACGCGCGGCGCGCGCTGCAGGTGTGCGCCGCCGCGGCGGAGGCGGCGGCGGAGGAGCTTCGCGTCTCGCCCGCCTCCCCCGTTCGAGGGGGCGGGGGCGCCGCCGCCTCGCGGCCAGCCTGGCGCGCCAGACGGCGTGAGGCTTCCCTGGGGTGAGGGGCTGACTGGCCTCACGCGTTGCCGCTTCGCTCTCCGTAGGCTCGACAAGCCGGCGCTCCGCTTCCAGCACATGTCGGCCGCCCTCGCCGCCACCTTCAAGTCTCGCGCCGTCGCGCTGCTCGAATCGCTGCCGCAGCACCAGCAGCTCCTGCTGTGCGCCATGGTGCTGCGCGGCCGGAAGAGCAGCGGCGGCGGCGGCTGCACTTTGGCTGACTTGCACGCGTCGTACAAGCGGCTCTGCTCGTCGCAGAAATTGCCCGCCCTCCCCGTCGGCGAGATCCTCCCGCTCTGCAACAACATTGCCGCGTGCGGTATCTTTGGCGTCGGCGCCATCGGCGCGTCCTCGCTGCTGCGCTCGAGCGCGCGCCGGGCCGCCGACCTCTCGACGCCGGTCTGGCTCTGCATCGCCGAGAACGAGCTGCGCCAGGCCACGCGCGAGCTCCGCTTCTTCCGCAACATTCTCGGCGACCAGCAGGGCGGCAGCAGCGCGTAAAGGGCCGGGACGCGGACGGGCTCGAGGCGCGGAGTCGTCACTTGCTCCCGATTGCGTATCCCGCCCCTCGCCCTATAAAGTGCGTGCGCCTGTCGGAGCTGGAAGTTGGCGCTCAAGATTTTGCAAGCGAGTAAGAAACAAAACAACAGGAAATGGACTCGTCGTCTGACGTCTCCCACGCACGGCTTCACACGGCTAGAGCTAGACCGTTCACCGAGTTAAAGTAGCAGTTACCCCCCCAGACCGCCCTTTCCCGCTACAACTCGACGCGCCCCGCTCGGGGCCGCTACATTTGCTTCTTGAGGAAGCTCTCCGTGGCGGTGTGCAGCACAGCCTCGATGATGCCGATCACCTATGGCGCCGTCGAGGGACGCGTCGCCGACGCGTCTCGGGTGTGCGGTGCCTCGACGGGGGAGCGGTCGCCGTGAAGACGCCGCCGATGATGGCGCACGTCGAAGTGACGAACCTGCTCGCAGCAGAGCGAGCCGTCTGCACACGCCCTCTCACAGGCCCGGTGGAGGGCGGCCGGCCTGCCGGCCCCGGGGGGGGGTGGGGGGTGGCACGGCCGGAGCACCCATCCCGACCGATGAGCTGGACGCCGCGACTACCCTCTAGTACGCCGACGTCCACACGCCCCGCATGTCCTTCGTCGACGACCAGCGATCGATCGGCGCCTCTGATAGCCCAATGACCCTCTCCTCCACTAAGGCCGTTCTCTTGGTGGACTCTTCCCTGACCGCCCGCTTTCTCGCGTCCGCCTACAAGATCTCTTCTGCTGGCCGGAA